TTTCGATACAGTAAATCAATAAATTCAATGTGTAATAATCAATAAATTCAATCGAATAAAACGTTTTATTAGTAACAATTATTCGTAGGAGTGATCACTAAAGAAAATTTCTGATGTAATTGCTTATAAATTGTCTGCACATATGTATGTACGTTCCTATCGTCTTGCATTTCATTGGATCCAACCCAAAACAAAAGTTGCGCGGCGATACCTGCGCGAAGACTCAGTTTTTCGCTGAGTGGACCTACTGGTTATACTGTGCTATTACTCAGAATAGCTATTTCAGGTTAACCATTCACTCCCTGGAGCATCCGTTGCTCCTTCTGTAAGATTTCTCACAGGATCCTGACTGTATCGACTCGACCTCAGGGCGGAGCCATAACAAAAGAAGAAGAAGAAAAAGGGAGCAGGTATCAGTAAAGAAAAGAAGAAGTCTCGCATTAAATCGCGCCGAAAATGTCGGCGATGTTGACAGCCGATTGGTTTCCTCTGGGACGGGACGTATACTTTCGGTAAATATATTCTTCATATATATTATAATTTTTGACAAATACAATTTTTTTTCTTTTTGAAAAGACTCCATCAGTTGTGGTCGATATTCAGATACCCACAACCTGGAATTATATATAAATCCTTGTTGATATTGTTTACTTGTGTGACAAGTACAACGCTTTTGGTTAGGTTTTGTATGACAGATAAGCTGACATTAATGCACGTGCTGTCACTAACGACACTAACGTTACCGATTTTTATTGTAGCAAATTCGAGCTGTACCCGATATCCTTTCAGCACGAGGTTTCCAACAACAATCTGTTGGTTGCGGCGCCGTATGGGGGCTCCATCGCTGTGACGAGAAACCCCAAGAAACTCGTCAAGGTCCAAGGAGCCAGTAAGCCTTTAATATTGCTATACACGTCGTCAGGGAAATTGACAGCCAGACTGCAAGTGAGAGCTCTTTGGTTTGCAGATACAAATGTGACTTTGTTATATCTAATTTGTTTTTTTTACTTAATTTTTTGCTTAATTTTCTATCAGTGGAGCAGTGGTCAATTGATATCGTTTGGCTGGTCTCAGCAAGAGGAATTGCTGTGTGTGCAAGACGACGGCATGGTTCTCATATATGACATGTTCGGAATATACCAGCATACCTTTAGTATGGGAAATGTAAGTTGCCTGAGATATAAATCTACAAATCTCTATTTCTACCAATGTAGATTAACTTTAATTTCTGTTGAACATATCTTTTATCTTTTTCTATTTTTAAGAATTAGAAAAAGATAAAGAGTAAATTAAACTGATATCCAAAGTTAATCTACATTTATAGAAATGGACCTAACATAAATTAAACTGAAATTCAAAGTTAATCTACATTTATGGAAATAGGCCTAATACATATAAGGAAAGAGAGGCTTTATTTGATTGAGATGTCTTATAATAATATTTTAATAATATAACAATAATATTTTGGTATAGTATTTTTGGTATAATAAAATTTTTGTGTAAATTTTCCAGTTTATGCAAACTGTGCATTGATCATTTGCTGATCTTGTAATACAATTCTAAACCAAAGCTGGAATATACAGAGTGAATACGAAGTAATGTAAAAGATTTTAAGTAGTGATTCCTCGTGCAAATTCAAGACAAAAATTTTACATGCCCGAAACGGCTTAGTTTCAAAGACACAAAGTGTCAAAGTTGAAGAAAAAATTTCGCTTTTTTTCCAAAAATTTCAAAAACCATTTGAATTATTTTGATGAAACTTTGCGTATGTTTCAAGTTTTATCAAAGTAACCCGAGTGATTTTCTGTAAAGAATTTATTGCGAAAAGAATATTAGATCAAGATCTGATCAGATAAGACCTCTCTTCGTTTATTATTGTTATTCACATATTAGTCAATTTTCGCTTATTATTAATTATAAATCTTTATTTATGAAGACATTTTTTTACACGCGTTAATTTTTTTCCTTCAAGGCAGCTAAGGATACTAAGGTTATCGACGCAAAGTTTTTCACGACGTCTAACAGCACTGGGATAGCCGTTTTGACTTCTGCCAATCGTATATTTCTAGTGAACAACGTGTCTGAGCCTAAAGTCCGGCCAATCACCGATATGCCAAGTAAATATAATAATATATTTGTGCATTCCTTGCATTTTTTGCTGGTTGCATTACAATCATTACTTCCAGGATATGGACCAATCGATTGCTGGTATATGGTACATTGCGACAGGGAGACGCAAGTGATTCTGTCAAATAGAGAAGGAATATTTGTAATTCATCAGTCCCATCAAAATACTTTTCCATATGTAAGCATACTATTGTACAGTTCAACAATGTTATAATTCACTTAAATTCACGTAAATTCTCTCTTAAGCATTTGTAAATCAATGTTTGATTCAAGCTATTTTATTTTACCTCTTAGAGCAACCTCTTCAGCAATAAGATCAATACTGTGATAGCAATAGCTGTTGCCAGCAACAATCGGCACATTGCGCTTTACTCCGATACTGGACACTTGTATATCGGTTCGATAGACTTTCGAGAAAAATATTGCGAATGCTATACAAATATGAAGGAACCCCTGGCGAATATAGCTTGGTTAGTAAAGACAATTGATCGATTTAAGGCGATGCTGGAAGGTCGGAATTACCGGCATTACAGTTGTATGAATACTGATCAAGTTTACCCTTCCACAGGGGTCCGGGCCACTCAAAAGAAGAAAAAAAGTTGTATGAATATCTCCGAATTGACAGAACGAAATTGAAAATCCTTTCACGGATTTCAAGGATTTTCAATTCCGTTCAGTCAGTTCGGAGATATTCATATAACTGTAATGTCGGTAATTTCAATCTTCCAGCATCGCCTTAATTATATTTAAATTTAGTTAAAATATAAATTGTAGAGGATATTAGAATTCGACGAATACACTTGCAGGTGCGGCACGGAGGCCGTGGTATGCAGCTGGAACAGTACGATAATGGTGGTGGGTCGTACGGCTGATACTATAGTATACAATTATGACGGCCCAGTGCACTTAGTTACAGAGATCGATGGGGTACGCGTACTGTCGAGCAGTTCTCATGAAATGATACAGAAAGTGCCGAACGTCGTGCAAAGGATATTCCGAATTAACTCGACGGATCCTGCATCCTACCTCCTGGAGGCCTCCAAGCAGTTTCAGAAAAAGAGTCACAAAGCCGACAGTTACATAGATTTAGTGAAAGACAAGCTAGACTCGGCGATAAAAGCGTGCATCGACGGTGCGAGTCACGAATTCGATTTCGAGACGCAAAAGATTCTAATGAGGGTAAGTCGAGCAAGCGCGAAGGCGGTTTGTCGAGATATTCTTTTTTAAGAAATTATCTAATATTGTAAAATCTTCGTCAGGCCGCTAAGTTTGGAAAAGGATTCAGCAAAATGATAGATTCAGAATATTACGTGCAAATGTGTAGGATTTTAAGAGTCCTGAATGCAGTGAGGCACCCTGCCGTGGGCATTCCGTTAACTTATACGCAGTATCCTTTCGTATTCATTTGATGTACAAGATCATTTTGTATGTTCATATTTTTTTTATAATTATAACTTTTATAATTGCAATGTATGGAATTCCTTATTGATGATACTAGATTTAATATTCTCACGAATCAAGTACTACTAGACCGGCTAGTAGCACGGAGGCATTATTATTTAAGTATACAAATAGCGCGTCACCTGCAATTACCCGAGATTGACGGGGAAAGTAGAATATTAGCACACTGGGCTTGCTACAAGGTAAATAATGTGTAAGGAGACGAAATGTTATGATTTAATTAACAATATATATATATATTTTTTTTATAGGTGAAACAAACGCAGTTAGATAAAGAACAAATAGCAGAGGAGATCGCCGATAAATTAGGATATGCGCCTGGTGTTTCATATAGCGAAATCGCGAAAAGAGCAGCGGATTGTGGACGAAAGCAATTGGCCATTAAAGTAAATCTATTTATATGAAAATGGGCCAAAAAGAAACAGGAAAATTTAAAGTGATCAAATAAAAAAACTTAGAAACTTTTATCAATTAATTTTAATTATATCAAATATGCCATTTACAAATTCTCTTATAACCATTACATTTTGAAAATGACATCCTTCGAATAACTACTTCTTGAATATATGCGTTTTTTGCAGTCTTTTTCTTTGAAGTCTCTTATGACTTCTTGCGACATTTCAACTGTGTAATTTCTTTATGAATATTTATTTTTAAGTTCATCAATACTTTGAGGTTACAAGAAGTCATGAGAGACTTCAGAGAGGGATTGCAAAAATATATTTAAGAGAAAGTCATTTAGGATATTATTTTCAAGTTTTATGGTTATAAAGTAATAAATGGCATATTATGTTCTATATTTTGATATAATTAAAATTAATTGACTGAAGTTTCTTGGGTTGTTATTTTATCTTTTAATCTTCTTGTTTCTTCGGTCAGCCCGTATTATATATTTCACCGTAGAAACGTATAGGTACATTAGCGTCTTTTCAGTTAATCGACTACGAACCACGAGCACACCAACAGGTACCGTTGCTGTTGACACTTGGCGAGGAGCGTGCCGCTCTGCACAAGGCTGTGGAAAGCGGCAATACGGATCTAGTCTATACCGTCATTCTTCATCTCAGAGAGAACATGACCCTCGGAGATTTTCAAGTAGGCAGTAATACTTTTGTTCTAAATGCAAATACAGTTACGTGTTCTTATAATTGATCTTTAATGCAGATGTCTATAATGCATTGTCCTCTCGCGATGGCATTGTATATTAAGTATTGTCAGAGTCACAATAGAGAGACATTACGTGACATTTACAATCAGTACGACGACTTCCATTCACAAGCGGTGTGGTTTATCACCGAGAGTTATCAACGGAAGGTTGGCACAATTATCTTGCATTTATAATAAAACTTTTTTTATAACATATAAATTTGATATATTCTAATTTTTATAATAGCTTTTTATAATATAAAACTAAACGGATATACGCATGCCGCATATTTTTAGAACACGATGTCGAGAGACGCGTTGCTGCAGTCGGCTCAGGAAAACTTCAGATTAGCCCGTAATGACACTAATGCGTCATTAACAGAAGAACAGATAAAACTGTTGAAGTATCAGAGATCTTTGGAGGACACGCTGCGCGAATCGGTCGTGGGAAAACCTCTGCACGATACCGTGAAAATATTATTATTGCGTAACGAGCTAAAATTGGCGGATAAGTTACGATCGGAGTATAAAATACCAGATCGGAGGTACATTAATCTTCGCAACGTTAAATGAATTGCGTTTGTTGTCTCATACAACTGATATTTTAACACAAATATTACAAGTGATATTTTAATTACAGATATTGGTGGTTAAAAATACAATGCCTGGCGGAGCAAGGTTTATGGAACGATTTGGAAAAGTTCTCCAAAAGTAAAAAGTCTCCCATTGGCTACGAGGTATAACAACAAATAACAAACTTCGCATTCGTTTTACACAATTATACATCCAGTCGTTTGTCGATGCGGTGAAATAATTTTCAATAATTTCCATGTTTTTTAAAGCCGTTTATAGATGAATGCCTGAAGTACAATGAAAAATTAGAAGCGAGGAAATACTTAGCCAAAGTTAAAGATGATCTCAAAGTGAAATATCTAGTGAAGTTAAAGTAAGTACCTGTGAAAAATATAGTTTTTATAAAGACAAAGATATATAACACATATAAATAAGCATAACTAATTCGTAATTCTGCAGTTTGCTTAGTGAAGCGGCGCAAACAGCGTACGAGCAAAAAGACGCTTCGGCTCTCACATTTGTGCTGGCACAATGTGGGTCGTCAGACAGACAATTTGTGGATAAGATCAACATGTTACTAGCTAGTCTTAAAAATTAAGATTTTTTTTTAATATACAACTTTTAATATACAACTTAAATAAAAAATGTAACGTCTGATATAATGATCTTAAAATAATTTTACAGATCAGTTAATATTCAAGACGTAATCATCATAGATCAATAAAATATAAAATATATATAAATGTTTATTTTAAGATATATATATATATATATATATATATATATATATATATATATGTATGTATTCTCTCTGTAATAAAAAGTTTTAAGTCTGTTCAGACATTCTATTTGTTATAATCTGTACAAAAATGTGAATGTATATCTACTGTGCAAAATAGCAGTTATTTGTAACTGAATTCTGTACATTTATATATTGCTTTACAAAGCTGATATGTATATACAATATAGTAGTATATACTAAACCTGAGTATCCCATTACCGTCAGAACTCTCTCCTCTAATTGTGATATAAAAATCATTTATGTCTATAATGCACATTTTGTAAAATATAAAATTAAAATTATTTTTACAGCTTGTGAAAATAGGTTGATCAACTAACTTCTTTAGACCGTATAAACTTCAGATGCTTCTCGACAAGATCGCTTACGATTAACTGTTCAATTTCGTCACCATTGTCTAACTGTTCGTTTGTAAGAGATAAGACGTAGTTTGTCTCCTTGCTCACAATTATCACTTGTTGCTTCCTAGTTTGCAACATATTGGCTATTACGAGCTGAAAGGCAATCCCATCAAAATTATATATCTTAGAGAAAAAACTCGATATGCACATTGCCATATAATACTTACGTTATGATGATATTTGTTGAGAGCAGTCCTCGCCTTAGAAATCAGCAAGCTCTCGTCGGTTTCCAATTTGAACGAGATTACGAATGCTTTCGGTACCCACAAACTGACTAACGGTGCTAAAATCTTTGGCACTAATTGAAGAGATATAGTTGGTGGTCCACTTGAGGAAATTTTATGGATTGACTGAAAGAAATTTATGCATACATAATAATAAAGTAACGGGGTACATTCCATGAGACAAATTTGAATGATGTATTTACCATCTCGTTGGAAGGAATGTAAAAATCCGAGACTGCTGCTGCTAAGTATAATATAGCTTTGTTCTCCAGAGGTGCCAGTGCTTGACACGCAGATCGAAGTAGCCAGAGATACTCGGAAAGAGTCGTAAAAGTGATTTGCAGCAATTTTTTCTGATCAAATGCCTCTCTATACTTTCGCAGCACCGTCGCTACCTTCTGTGTATATTCTGGCAGTACTGCAAAAATAGTAATAACATATGATCAGCCTGCAAGTACGTCTCTCTTAATTACATACAATTGATTACATATCGGTTAACATTATGATTACACATTATTCTTCATAACTTACTTGTAATAACAGGATTCTCATTATTATTATCTGATATTTGAAGCAGGTCTAAAAACTTCTGACCTATAAAGTGCCTCGAGAATGGTTCCAAAGATTTGATTCTGAAAAATGTAAAAAACATACTCATATATATAATATCACTTTGTTAATTTATGCTATTCATGGAGAAAAAAAAATGTTCACATCATAACAGAATTTTTTAAGAGTTTTTCATAATTTAAGTTTGTAAAAATTTTTGAAAAATACCTTCAACTTCAGATTTTATATTTCTTTGGAAATTGAAAGTAACGAAATTGAATGTAAAAAAATGAAAAATATTTTAAAATATTTATAAATTTATAGAATTCATATATATTCTAGAATTCTAGAAAAGATGTAGTCTCAACATTTTTGAGGTTTTTCAATTTGTATAAAAAATCTGAAGAATTTTCTAAAAAAGTTATAAAATTACAGAAATTCCTAAATGAATATGAAAGCTTTAAAAAATATAAAAATTTTGACAAAAATGAATAAAAATTCTGAAAAATTTTTGCCAAGGAAGTATGCAGTTACCTAAACATAAAAATAACTGCGTATCCGTGCTCCAAAAAGTATTCCGCTGAAACCGATCCTCTAGTACCCGCGCTGAAATTGTCCACAAATCTCACCGTATTGTGCTCCAAAGGTACCGTCGTGCCGCCGCTCTGCAACATCACGAGTAGAGAGTTAGAATGAAAGTACGGGTCAGGAAGGTCATGTCTTATAACATCAAATCCTGATCGACTCACCGTCACCAGTACCACTTTGTTACCGGCCTCGAGGTGTTTCCTGGTGAACTCCTTCAGCGCCTGTTCGTTCTGTGCCAGGTCCTGAGGGGGTGGATGCTTCGCGTAGAAATCCTCCCATGTTGAGACCATCGTGAACAGTCGCGAGTCGTGGCCGACTTGGTAAGTCGAAGGAACTAGGAGCTGGAAAGAGCTTTGCTGCGTGAGGACTCTTGCGAGATAACAGAAGATCGACCTATGGAAATGTTCGATACATATATACGTTACAGGTCATTAAAGGCCTGTAAACGTATTACGCAATATTTGGCCGGATTATCCCCGATCAGGAGCAGGTGCCATTGAAGAAAAGAAGAATTACGTAATAAAAGCCTTTTAACCTCACGTCAATGTCATCGAGTATATTATTTATTCTATCCTGTATTATTGATATTTCGTAAAATATCTGCCTCCGCGAAAGATTTCGCGTCAAGACGCGCGAGTTTTGCGATATATAAATAAGAGCGTCGAACTGACGGAGGCAAAAAGAAAGCGAAAAGTGATTACTAACCTCGGCGTGCGTAACCTCGAATCTCTCAAAAGAAATCGATTGAACTTCGATCTTCTGGATCAGCGTTTTGCCGACGCCAGTTGCGCGTTAAGAAGTTCGAAGTAGACCGGCGTTTTTATCGTCCTAACATAGTAACCCATGTGCCTCGATTCCACGCTTTTTCCTTTCAAGAATCCTGCAGAAAGGCGAGCCGCGAGAACTTAGTCCCTTCAGGACTACACGAATCCGTTCCGATTTCTTTCTTTTTGGCATGTATAAATAAAAAAATAACGGTTTACGATATATTATTTTCATTACATTTTAACATGCCGAGACGTTTGGTAAAATGGTAAAACGAAGCTTACGCTGCACGCGTGTATAAAATTATTTCCAAATTTGTTTATATAAAAAAAACAACATTGAAACTTGTAAAATAATATACGTAAAAATCGTCGATTCATTAACAATATATTAATAAAAAAAAAAGAAACGCGCTTTTTGCATCAGCATCGCCTACACGACACAGATTCCTTTATTAAATAATCAAACTCTCTCCAAAGTTAATAGTTACATAATGTATATATTATATTCAATGATGCTGTATATACTTCTGGGAGTAATTCAGGGACTGCTGCGTGCCTGTCGCTCCGTTGTGAGAATAGCATTACTCAGACACAAAAGTACTTAAGAGATTCAGATAACAATTTATTCCTAATAACAAATACTAGTCGACATTGACGCAGCTCAATACTCGGGCGCAGGGCTCTTGGCGTTGCTCATTTCCTCTGTCGTCGCGTAGAACTATAAGAAAAGGACACAAACGTGAGCACATGCGGAAACTTTGCCCTCCTCAAAAATGCTAACAAGCTTACTTTAAGACGATCATGTTGAACATCAGGATGGAATTCTATTTATAATTATAGGCTAATGCAATATACGTACATGTGTATATTTCAATTGTTCAACACTAAGTTACATGTAATGTACTTGTTATAGTGGTATTTTCCCTACTCCACAATATTAACTATAATATAACACATGTTATATTACAGTTATATTGTGGAGTGAGGAAATTACCACTAATACGTTACATGTAACTTGGTGTTTGATGGGGTGTGTGCTTACGATGTTTTTCTATAGGACAAAGAGAAGAAAAAAAAGAGGGCAAAATTCTAAATAGAATCAAGTATATCCCGAATTCAGACATTTCAGACGCGAACTGCGCGAATCGTCCGAAGCAGGTTTGGTGCGGAAAGTGGCAATTGTCGTTACCTTGTATTGTTTTTCCTTGTAGTAGTTCCACGGCTCGGCCTCCTTCTTGTTCAGCCAGGAAACGTCGGGACTGCGCGTTGCCAGACGTAACGTGTACAGGAACGCGCCGCAGCCTCCCAGCACTATGCAGAAGTACAGCGGGTACAGCTGAAAAACATATGAGAGAAGCATTAAATGGAGTGTCGTTCGGCGGCGCAAAGTAATCATCTTGCGATGCTCACGGCCGGATGCTTCTTAACGGACGCTAAACTGAGCCCCTGCATCTTCATGATTGCGGCGTCCAGTAGAAGAGATTCAAAGAGATTCTATGAGTCTCCCGATAACACACACTCTCTCTCTCTCTCTCTCGATAGTCTCGATGCACTGTTTTTAGTATTTTTGCAGCACCAGTAAGCACGTAACATACAGTACGTACTGAGCAGTGAGCAGCGTGCCAGTAGATTGACCTTAAGCAGAGCCTTCAGACTGATACCTAGTTTGGTGACTGCGCAAGCGATAAAAGGCGGCCGATAAGAATGGATAAAAACATCGTCGAGAGCGCGATTCTCTTGAGTGGTAAATTTAAAAATCGATTAAATCTCACTCTGTCGGCAATGAATTAATTATAATAATAAAATAAATAATTAATTTCCCCGTCAAATATTGGATTAAATTAAGGTTTGTCGAAAATTCATGTAAACGGGTTCTAACATAATATAATCAGGGTGCGTTCCCACTGAGCACGTCACGCGTCGCGTTATCCGAATTGACAAATCAAAATATTCCATTTTATTGCGTAATTTGTCGCGCGATCCTGGATTTCATACAGAAAAAGATTATTTTATCTCTAGAATGTCAAATAACCTAATCAATGGCCTAGTTTACACCGAGCATTGGCCTAGTTTACACCGAACACTTTATACGCGTACTAACTATAGAATAATTTCTATTAAATTATACTATAGAATAATTTCTATTAAATTATCTTAATTTTTACAATGCATTTAAAGAATGATGTACTAAGCTGATACACTATGCATTAATATGATTAATTAAATACATATATCATGTATACGTTTATATGCATCGTTGAAATTAAGATAATTTAATAGAAAGTTTCTAGTTAGTACGCGTATCAAGTGCTCGGTGTAAACTAGGCCATTTGATACGCGTACTAACTAGTAACTTTCTATTAAATTTTCTTAATTTCGACGATGCATATAAACTTATACA